CTTGCTAAGATTAATCATCTGTCCCGACTCAAGTTCATAGTCGTGAAGGATCTGTTTAATTTTTTCACTCTCCTGATGATTTGCTCTAGCAAAAAATAGGCAATCATCTGCGAACAACAGATGAGTAACAGAGGGGCCTCTTTGACTTACCTTAATTCCGTGCCACATTCCCTTCTCTTCTGCTTCCTTTATCATCGAGGTCAAGCCTTCTGCGCACAACAAGAACAGATAGGGAGATAACGGATCTCCTTGCCGTAACCCTCTGGTTGGCATTATAGTTTCCGTTTGGTGCCCGTTAACCAGTATTGAATAACTAACCGTCGAGATACACTCCATAATTAACTTGATCCACTGACTGTCAAATCCCATCCTCTCCATGACTTTCTGCAGAAATTGCCATTCCACTCTGTCGTAAGCTTTTGCCATATCCAATTTTGCTGCAAAATGACCTTTCTTGATGCGTTTTTCCTTCTTCTTAATGGCATGGAAACACTCAAACGCAGCAAGAACATTATCAAAAATTGACCTTCCCGGAACAAAAGCACTTTGCGTTTCTGATATAATCTGGTTCAGCACAACCTTTAATCTGTTTGCTATAGCCTTCGACATGATCTTATATAGTACATTGCATAGGCTTATCGGCCTAAAATCCCTTGGGCGCTTCGGATTCTTAACCTTAGGGATCAGACATATCAAAGTTCTGTTCAACCTCTGCGGGATCACCCCTGCCTGCAAGTAAGTGGGTAACTCCACTGTTATCTCATTGCCAATCGTCTCCCAATGATGTTTGAAGAACAAAGCCGGGAACCCGTCTTCCCCAGGAGCCTTAAGCGAGCCTAGTTGTTTCAATGCTATCTCCAATTCCTCTGCCGTAAACGGCTGACAGAGCCTCTCATTCATCTCTTGGGTAACCTTCCGAGGTATTGTCGATATCACCCTATTCCTCCCCACATCACCTTGGCTTTTGAACATGCTCGAAAAGTGATCTGTAAGACATCCACTAACCTCTTCTTGGCCCAGGAAGACTCTACCATCCTCATCCACCAATTTCCGAATCATATTCCTTTTTTTCCGCTCTGTAGCCCGTCTATGGAACAAGCCTGTGTTTTTGTCTCCCGTTCGTAGCCAGGATATTCTTTACCTCTGGTGTCACCTCTTTTCTTGCTGAGTTAAGATTTCCACCCTTTCAGCTTCAAGTTTTCGCCGAGTTGAAACCCATTCCTCATTCTTTGGTTTGTTTTCCAGCTTTTCTAGGGCTCTCTCGATCGACTTCAGCTGCTCCTTCCATTTACCAAACTTTTCCTTGCTCCAATTATGTAATCCCTGCTCGCAGTATCTCAATCGATCGCTGGCATCTCCTCCCCTGCTCCGACTCCATTCCTCGCTAACTATCTCTTTACTCTCTTCCTCCTTCGCCCAGAACGATTCATATCTGAATCTCCAGCCCCAGCGAACCTCTTCTCCTTCTTTTCCTTCTGTATCCAGACAAACTGCTCTATGGTCCGAATGCGGCCTGCCCAGGTGGCGTACAAGGGAGAATGGATGGGCTTGAGCCCAGTCCCCATTGCACACGGCCCTATCCAATCTCTCTTCAGTGAAGTTTATTCTGGCCCTAGCATTATCCCACGTATAAGGATATCCCACGAAGCCCAAGTCCTCAAGGCCTGTATCTACCAAAGTGTTGGCAAAAGCCTGCATATCTCGTTCATCTTCCAGCCTTTTCCCTCTTTTTTCCGCTCCACACAACACTTGGTTGAAATCCCCAATCACCATCCATGGTAAAGACATTTGACTGTGTAGAAGGCGTAGAAGATTCCAAGATTGTCTTTTATTCTCCCCTTCCGGCCATCCGTAGAAGCCTGTAAAGCGCCATTCCGTCTCCTCATTTTCGCTCTTCATAACACCATCTATATGATTTGGTGACATTGTCTTCAAAGTAAAATCAACACTTGTATCCCACATTAACGCCAGCCCCCCTGCGGTACCATTTGCTGCCACCCCAATGCCATTTCTGTAGTGCAGCCTTCTTTGTTGATCCTCTCGCCCTTTCTCATCCAATCTAGTTTCCATAAGAAAAAGAACCTGGGGACGAACTTGTCTAACAAGCTCGGAGAGAGCTGCCTTTGCCTCGGGATTCCCCAGTCCCCAGCAATTAAGGCTTAAGATTTTCATTGCGATAGGCGGCCTTGCTCATCCGCAAGGTCCGCCTTTACATGTGGCGCGATTCCTCGAGCAGCCACCTTTTGTAATTTCTTGTCCCTCTCTTCTGCGAGTTCCCACTTCTCCTCTTGATCATTTTTCCCATTCACTTTTCTCTTCATACCACATAGGGCCTCCTTAGACTGGCCATTCGCCTCTGCTGGTACTCTGTCTTTTCTCACCCACTGGTTTTTGTTTTTTCCGACACCCTTGTTACTCTTTTCCTGGTTTAACCCTTTCAACTTTGTCTTCGTACCTTCTTCTTCCCCATGGGACAGCTCCTTCACAGCGATCTGGTCTCCCTCCTTCCATTCTACCCATGATCCCGTATCTTTTGTCATTTCTTGGTACTCTGTGTTGCTGGCTTTGGCTCTATTATCAGTACTTACTAGGTAGTCTGTAACAGGTGGATCCTCTATGAGCTTCCTCGTTGGTGGGCTATTCATGTTTTCCTTATTGGGCCCGTTGTCCACCCCCAATTTTTGAGTAGGCATCATCACAATATCATAACTCTGGCCCAAGCGAGCTTGGCCTATTTCGCCCGACTCCAATCCCCCTCCATCATTACTTTTCACCCACTCCAGTCTCTTACCATCTCTTTCCCCCACACTTTCCTCCGTGATGCTCTCCTTCCCCGATATCTCTATTGCCTTTTCCTTCTGGCCCATATCCCCAACTTCCTTACTTGTTGCCTCCTTCTGTATCTGATTGCTCATCTTATATTGCTTTGCTGATAGCCGTTAGCTCCAAGTATGGAAATTTCTTCAATTCAAAAAGCTTCCTCTTTTGTCACTTGAATGAGATGTCCGTTGGCCTTAATCATGAAGACTTTTTCCTCAAATTAAAAACCTTCCAGTTCTTCCTGCTCTGCGTGATTTTCCAGCTTGCATATTTGATCTTTCTTTCCTCTTATCTTCAGATCGCCATTATGTTGACTGGCTTTCCTTCAACAGGCTGAACATATGAGGAATCGTGTCAAGCTATGGAAGAGGGCCGGATTAGGAACTGCGATGATAGAAGAGCTCCGAAACAGTGCTGGTCATGCTGAAGGGACGTACTATTTGTAGCCCTAAATTATTTTTATTTGTAGCCCTAAATTATAAAAAGTACAATAATACCCATAACATTTAAATACATTTACTTCACACATTCCAAGACCAAAACATTCAAACACTTTTCCAAACACAATCCAACAATACTCGCCGCCGGCGACCGCCACCTCCCGCCGGCGACCGCGCCACCTCCCGCCGGCGACCGCCACCTCCGAAACCGACAGCTCCTTTCTCCGACGAGGTACGTCGGCAAATAACCCGACAACGACGGACGAACGTCCGGCCGGGACGTCGCCGGCGACGGACGAACGTCCTGCCGGGACGTCGCCGATTTATTATTTTATTTTTAATTTTTTGTTAATTTAAATTAGTGAAGTATATTAGATTTTTTAAAATATATTAATTTAGATTTTCGGTTATTATTTTAGATTTTTTAATTATCATATTGTTTAGAAAAATTTGTTCTAATATTATTTTTAAAATGAAGTTATTGAATTTTAATTTTTCATATTTCGAAACTAAGTTAATGTTTCCTGAATTTAGACTTTTAATTGCCATATTTTAAGAATATGTAGTGTTTTTATTATTGTAATTTATTATTTTATGAATATTGTAATTACCATATTTTTAGTAGGATTTTTAATAATATTATTTGTAGAATGAAGTTCTTTAACTTCATTTTTTATTATTTTGAAACTAAGTTAATGTTTACTAACAATAATTTAGACTTTGAAGAATATTTAGCGATTTTATTGTAGTTTATTATTTTATGATATTGTAATTATCATATTTTTTAGGATGGATTTGCTATAATATTATTTTTAGAATGAATTTCTTGAATTTCATTTTTTTATATTTTGAAACTATGTTAGTATTACTGAAAATATTTTTCTTGATGTATTTCTTGAAGTTGGTCAAGTTCGGACTTCCGGATATCACTACATCAGATAATGAGTAACACGGTTAGTGAGTTAAACTTTTTAATTTTGGAATCATGTTGAATTATTTATTGTTATGATGAAGTCTAGTAATTGATAATATGCTTAAATATTTGCTTTACAATGATACATATTGTTTGAAAAATGTTGATTATTGATTTTACTATCTTGTTGATAATTTAATTAGTACTTGTCTACTTGTTGCATGTTGAAATATTAGGATTTGGTAGTTAATCATGTTAAATGTGCTAATTTTTTATTGAAAATGTATTGGATTAGTTAATGTTCAAATATTGAATAATTGTTAACAACGTTGTGTTGTTGATAATTTAATGAGTACGTGTCTACTTGTTAAAAACTTTTTATTGCATATTGAAATATTAGGATTTGGTAGTTAATCATGCTAAATGTCCTAATTTTTTGTTGAAAATGTATTGGATTAGTTTATGTTCGAATATTGAATAATTGTTAATAACTTGTTTAATATTTTTTAATAAGAAGATAAATATAAAATCTAATATTGCAAACAAGTCATCAAATTTTCTAAAACTTATATAAGACTCAATCCATTTTCAAATTGTAAGAATTCAATTTACAACAAACATTACAAGTCATGAAAAGTGTTGAAACTTATGTAAGACTCAATCTATATCAAATTGGAATAATTTAATCTACAACAAACATTTCAAAATTAGTATCACTAATAAGATAAATGTGTTTATTTTAGGGAGATCCGGAAGATAAAGGAGACAAAGTTGATTATACTCAATTTTTCATAACAAATACAAGATATAAGTCATGGAATGAAGCTATGGAAGCTGCGAAAGTGATTGCAAAAGATCTTGGGTTCTTTTTGACACATTCATCAACCAAATCAAATGATGGCGAGAAGTACCCCCGAATATATCTTCACTGCCATCGTGGATATAAGAACAATACATATGTCCCAGATCCGGATAAGGTTCGTATATTTGTCTATTATAATTTAACATTCGTATATAATTTCAATTACAATAAAATTCCCATCACAATATAATATTCGAAATTATAATGAATTTCACAATAAATTCTAACTTAATTTTCTTGCTTAAATTGTCTATTATAATTTAACATTCGTATATAATTTCAATTACAATAAAATTCCCATCACAATATAATGTTCAAAATTGTAATGTATTTCACGATGAATTCTAACTTAATTTTCTTGCTTAAATTGTCAATTGCAATTTAAGGTTCGTACAACTATTAATACTTACTATGAAATAAAATTCTATATTTAAATTATTAAACTTTCTTATATTTATCAATTAAAATTTACCTTTCCTATCTAATTTCAATTAAATGAAAATATTAACCGACATAATTTTCGTATATATTAAATATTAACATATTTAAAGAAGATAATTAACATACATAATTTAAACAGATAATTAGAGTAATTAACCTACATTAAATCATGATAATTAAAGCATATAATTAACCTACATAATTAAAGGAGATAATTAAAGTAATTTTTTAAATTAATTTAAAGTATATAATTAACCTACATTAAATCATAATAATTATAATAAATAATTAACCTAAATTAAAAATATATATATATTTGACTCGCCGCCGGCAAGGGCGACGTCCTGCCCAGACGTCGCCGGCGACGGACGAACGTCCTGGCCGGACGTTTGTCCGGCGGCGGGTCAAACGGCCGGTCGTCACCTCCTTCGTGCAAAAATTAAAAATTACCTTCGTGAAGCGCTCTGATTTCGTCTCCGGCGAGAGGTCGTCGTCTCCGGCGAGAGGTGGTCGTCGTATTTGAGAGGAAACCGGCGACAGGAGAGATGGGGCGAGTCACGTCTCCGGCGAGAGCTCGTCGTCGCCGGCGAGAGCTCGTCGTCGCCGGCGAGAGCTCGTCGTCGCCGGCGAGAGCTCGTCGTCGCCGGCGAGTGGTCGTCGTCGCCGGCGAGAATATTTGGGAGGAATCTGGGAGGAATCCGGCGAGTTGAATTGGTAGGGAAGGGAGTGTTTGGTTGGAGTTGTTACAAGTTCAATATTTTAAAATGAAGGAAGAGTAAAATAGTAATTATATTCTCTTAGGCTATAAATAAGAAAAAGCTAGGTCTATAAATAGCAATTCAGCATGCTGAATAGCCTATCTCATCGTCCCTCGTTAGCATATTCTCATGGGAAATCTAGGTGTTGGTCGGCATATGCGTACGGAGGTATCACTAAATTTCGTGGGATAGTAGACTAACTACGGACATGGCGTTCTAGTACTCAAAACTTGGACGGTATAGCTATATATGTGACTGTACATGTATTAGTAGGTTTGGAAGGAGAATCGGTGGTGGGAAATAAAAAATAGTTAAGCCCAGTTGGAGATTAAGCACTAAACCATCTTAGTACTACATTGTTAACGTTGATGCATGGAATGGCATGAATAAATAGATTAACTGTGCCAACAGATGATTAGAGCTGATGGTCAACCGGAGCTAACAAAGGGCTTTATTTATGGCAGCAAGGAGTTTTGGGCATCAACGTGCTCTTAGATGCAGAACGAGGAACGCGATTGAGTCTAAGTTTGGTACTCGAATAAGTAAGGTGCGTGGTCAAAGGGGGTTAGAGTAGTTTTGTTATCAGTTATGCATTTAGGGATCTTTTGGAAGTTGTGATTGTTAGAGTTGTGTTTGTTGAATACATGTATTGTGCACAATACAATGTTTGGAAGTGCCAAAGCGTAAAACAATGGGTAGATCCCACCAACAATCACAAAAAATGATGCATTATGCAATCTCAACTAAAAGTTGAGATTGTTGCTTTTAGATTTGTGTCAACTTTTTCTTTCCATTTATATCCCTAAAAGTTTTTGTCTTATACTAAAAGTTGAGGGTAACTATGACATTTTCCCATAAAAGTAACTTTATGTAAATCAATGCATAAAATAGAATCTCAACAACCAAACAATGTATTGTTAAAATGTATCCATTGTATCAATACATGCATTTGTATTACGGTGATCCATTACAATGCAACGATTTAACATTCACAACTTCCAAACGACCCCTTAGTTCATGTTACGCATTTCAGTTCTTGCTTTATGTTTCCGTTATTTTCTTATCTACAAAATACTATAAAGCAATGTCAAGAAAGGCCGGGCACTAAGCTAGTACGCTTTCATCTTAAGTTAATTTGTTATGTCCAATCTTTACTTTAAGTACGCACAACATCACGAAGAATCATAAACTACGTTTAAGGCAGGCAATATAAATACGTTTTAAGCTAATAAAGTTAATAAATACGTTATAAGTTTAGATCTTCCCATTGTGTGGGAGATCACCATGTTTACTCGAGTATGTATGCAAGTATATCTTAATTAAATTTATCCATTGCGTGAGAGATTAATTAAGGTAGGCATGTTTAAGCTATCTATTTAGGCAAGCAAATAAGAACACGTTAATAAGTAAGAACAAGTTAACCTCATTTAGCTAGCTGCACACAATCACCTCACTCCCCATAGTGAGGGAGTATTTTATTCATGGATCCCCACTCTTGGATTGTAAGGAGGTCGGTACCCCACAACCGTGTAGAGCGTGCGGTACTTTGTTTCCCATACTAAGTTGGTGATCGTGGTGGTGTGCTAGTTAGGTCGAGGTCAGGGGCCATTCTAAAGATGAAATATGCAAGATGCTCGGAAAGTAAACAAGAATCACATGTTCAAGGCTCCTAATAATGTACCCAATAATGTACCTAAAGTATTGCATGTGCATGGCTGTCCGTTTATGTATGATACCGAAATTAGGATTCTAACTAACCCCATCACCCGCATTCAGGAATTGTAGAAGCTCTAGAGCATGCTAGAAGTTCGCAGTTCGTGACAAGGATCAATGGCCCTAGAGGACTCCAGTACGAAGTTTCCAATCTCGTGTATTAGTAGGACTCAAGGCTTGATGCGTATTTATTAAACATGTTTATGATTTTCGCTTGTGCAAGTTTCAAGAAATTGTTATTTGACTTTCAATGTATTTTATTATGGATATTTAAATAAAGTTTCCCGCTAATTTTTCCAATCTATTTGTTTTGGTTAATGGTTTATCAAGTGCATTTTGGTAAAAGTAGTGCTCGGCCGAGCTAGGGTATTACATGTTGCAAGGGAAAAAAATGTATTTTGTATGTTATTTTATCAAGAGTCAAGACGATACTATTTTGTAAATGGTTTCTACAGTGGTGGAATTGGACCATGCAAATAGGGATGACAATTTGAACCCGCATTGGGACGAGAATCATCAGCCTCGCAATAGTATAGTGCGTAGCATGGAGCAATACTTTCGACCTGCCTGCCCGATTCACCCATTCTTGACCAATACAATCTGGAATTGTCTCAGTATCTATTCATATTTCTTCTATTTTGATTTTTTAACGTTTTGGTTTTTCTTTAATCCTATTTTCACGGTATGAAACTTTAAATGGGTGCAATAGTTAATCTTTCAACCAACTAAACTCGGTTACTTATTCTATTATCACTATTTACATTCATAAAGTGTTTTCTCTTTCATTTCATCATTTTTTAATGTTTTTTAAATAACATATGAAAATGTTTGAACCCGTTCCAACCCAACCCGTACAAGTAATTAACAACTTGACCCACTTTTGAGTTTTGATGCGGGATGAGTATGGGATTCGAGATACCTACATGTCTTACTCGTTTATCATCACTCTATGCAGGCAGGGGCTGACCCACCTTGTAGCAAGGTGTGTCACCCGACACACCTTGCTCCGAAATTTTTGTGAGGAACCCACATTTTTTTTGTGTAAGAAATTCGTACACGGGACCTTCGACACACCTTAACCTTATTACATTACAAAAAATTTGTTGTGATAATAGTATTAAAATATGTAAATATAGAAGTTATCGGATTTCAGATTAGGTAGATAAATTAGTTGGTTGTACAAGAGTAAACAATTAATTGACTACTTACTGCGTAGTGAGTATTCAGAAAGATAGTTATCACCTTTGAGATAACCTCAATAAATTGAATGAGAATTAAATTGATTAATAATCTGGTTGAGTAAAGTAATTAGACAGTGAATTCCATATTGTCTTTCCCTATAACTTCTTCCATGGATTCTTCTTAAGTTAACTTTCTACTTGCTTTCTAGTTTAGCTATTTCTTTCTATGTTGGCGCCTGTCGCCATAATCCAATTATCGGCATCGAGCCGACGACATCCTCATTCTCATTCAAACTTACACATTGACGTCTGTGGCCACCCTTCCAGCTTCTCATACCAGCTTTCTCATATTAAATTAGTGTTGACTTTACTTATTGCAACTCCAAGCTACAAAATGACATTTTCTATATAAGAGTTTAATCGAGAAAAATCTTTTGTATAAGTTGAGTGATCTATTTATGAATAATATTTTAGTTGTGTACATAAAAAAAAAATTGATTTGCAACCTAATGAGCAAATGTAATTAAGAATTTTTTCAGAATATGAAAACTCGTTGTGGTTCATTGTAAAAAATAATGATATTGATAAACTTTATATATATATTTTGTAATGATTATTTTAAATTAATTAAATATTTTTTTATTGGCCGATACACCTATACCAAAATCCTGGGTCTGCCACTGTATGCAGGTAACTAGGCTTGTTAAGACGTAGGGCTAAACATTGCAAAACAGGGCCAAATTGTATAAACTAAGTCATCCGGGCACTTTTTCTTCCTTGGTCCTGTCTTACTCGTTACTCGTTAGGGTAGGGGCAGGCCATAGTAACGATTAGCCCATATAGTTTCAAACTGGAGTTAGTCTGGGTCAAACAGAGTAATCATGATATGGGCTCAATTGATCTTCTATTTTATTTGTGGTATTGGAAAGGAAAATATTTAGGCCAATACTACGGTGCCGCTATAAAAACTGCGGCACCGGTAACGCCAATTTTAATTGATCCACGTGGAATTGATGAAACTGATGTGGCGTGAGCTGGCTTAATGTGTTAAAACCAAAAACCCCAATCCAAACCGGATTAATACATTTGTTAATAGATTGGGCCAAACCCCTATTAATAGATTTGTTTGTTTGAAAAAGAAAGGGAGGAGACAAAATGAACTCCACAAGCACATCGTAGCTCATCAATCCCCCATCTCCTGCGACGTCTCTGGCGTCGATTCGATCTCTAGTGTCTACCTAACGCATCCAATTAAACCCTTCATCTTTTCTTCCTTCTACATCCAATGAAGTCCTTCACCTTCAGCCACCTTATGTGTCCATCGAACAGGAGCAAGTGTTGGGAGAGCTAGCGGTGTTGAGGAAAAAGACGAACAGGGCCGCCGCAGAGTACTAGACGAGCCCAAGCCAATGAAGAAGAGATTGGCCCTCCCGCTGTCTTTGCCTTTGAACTCCGCATGTGCATCTGGTTTGGGGTCAAGTACTCAATTCCACTGTGGGTGTCACGCCCTATTTCACTGGATTTGCTTTTTAAAGTATTTTAATGTATGGGGGTTACTGTTGATTTATTGGTAATGCAAGGTTATCAAATTACTAGATAACCCAATGATTTAATTGAACTCCAAATACTTAATCATCGTAACCCAAATATGTTGATTGGCTAGTTTCTGTAGGTGATCTTGAGTGGCATAAAAGTTTTAAAATGGCCTAGTGGTTTCATAAAAGCCTAGAAAAAGGAAAAAGATGGTATTTTGGACTCCCCACTAGAGGTGTCAGGTCACCCAACCTTGAGTATTGAGTAGGCTATAATGAAGAAGCCCGGTTGCCTCTGTATCCTCCTACCCTTAATTAGCTCACAGAACCCATTTCCCAGGCATAGGGGATGATGATAACCGACCCCCTTCTCACATTCATAGTTAGGGATCGGAGCGCTTTCAGGTGAAAGGTTACAACCACAACCAGGTAATCGTCCTCTTCCCTTACGGGTAGCATCTGGGTATCTTTTAAAAGAAAACCCCAATGTTACATGTATAGAAACGAATAGAGTATTGCTGCCTAGATTCATTGGAAAGCTTTCATCTTTGTACTGGTGGTGTACCCGTGAAAAGCTAGAAAGTTAAATAAAATATGTTTAAATGGGTCTGTTTTGCATGAGGGAAGAAAAGGGTATTTGGGATGGGAATGATTATCCTGGAGGTGGAAAGATTTTTATATATATATGAGCAAAGTTTTCTATTATAAAATATATATATATATATATATATATAATATATAATATATATATATATATATATATGACCCTCAATTGATTAGTTGTAGATGTTTTCCTGTACCGTTAAGATTAATGGATTACTAGGATTCCGCTCGTGCTCCGCAGCGGGATACTAATTCTGTTATAATTTCAATGTGATTTAATTAAATCTATAACCATAATCGTTGATGTTCGAAATATAGACATAAATGTTGTCATAAACATAAGACACTGGGGTTTCAAAATAAACATTATGCAAAAGACTGACTGGGTTTGCAGAATAAACATAAATGTAGTTAGGAGTGTAGCTAGGATTTCATCGCCCGCGCTCTGCGCCGGGACTTGTACTAAATCCATGCGATGTAGTTAAAGTATAATCTTAATGGTGTTTTTTTTTTGTCTACTAATTTTGTCTCTAAAATGACCAATTTTTGGCAATTTCAATTTTTTCAAGTGTTAGCATATCCTCACCTTGAACATGATTATGCTTAATTACGGCTTTGGATAATAGATTAGAAAAGTAGAAGTTCGTAAATTTTGGTGGCAGACTATATTTTAGAATCAAAATTGTTAACTCTTAATTCAATTTGTTTTTAAAACGCAACGCTCAAAATTGGCCTATTTGTTCTTAAGATTCCACCAACATTAGTCCAACTATGTTTTCAATAGAAATACATTCCAATTATATGGAATTTCCATTAGCATGTCATTTTGTTTAAAACGGCTTTGGTCTCCAACTTTTCATTTTGGTGGATTAATGTGTGGACATGTTAAACTCTGGATGATGACCATGAGCAGAACATCAAGAACTAACCATTAAATTGCAGCATTCGAAGCTACACACATAGTTTCATTAGATATTTTGGGACTCCAAGTTGCAGTCAAGAGGTTTCATATGGTGAGCATGGTAGATATTTGATTTTGTGATGAAGCCAGACTGTAAGAAGTAAAGCAGGCATATCCAACACAAAATCAAATTTATACAACAAATTCATACTGCTATTTAAACTTGAATGAATACATCATTAGGGCATGTAGCATATTACAGCTATCATATGGATTCTTTAGCAGTGGGGAACACCTAACATTCACCTCAAAGATAATGTATATCTATAGAGAGAATCAGCTCACTAAATGCAAAATTGTTGAAAATGAAAAAACTCAAAGCTTTCCGAACTACAGTAAAATGTTCACTCAGAGGCACAATCCATCTTCCAAAATAAGCTGCATATGAAGCAAGAGAATGAAATTTAGTAAGAAACATAATTAGGCATAGAATCAAATTCAACATTTGGGGCACTCATACCTAACCTGAGTCTTCTTGTAAGACCTAAGTGAAAAGCAAAAGAGATGGATCTATTCATAAGGACAAAACTTGATACTGTAAATCACCAAGCCACCTTAACTGGAAAACAGTAATTTAACAACATTATACGTTGGGATTCCTAGAAACCCATCATTATACATGAGGACAATAAACAACCACCAAAGCACTGGACTTCCAAGACTCATAAGTTTGTTTGCAGTTCAACAAATATTTAGATAACTTCTGCTATTTAGCATAGCAAAGCGCAAATTAAAAGATAAAATAACGACCAACAACACCAAAGCTTAAGAAATGATAAATAACATTAGGTAACCACTTAACTGGATTAAAACCTATGATCTTGGTAAGATTCCCCACTATCATATACACCGTGATCCAATCAATCACTACAATACTGGAATATCTGGGTTTAGAATACAATCAAAGTGCACGTCAATAAAATTAATAGGATTCGGAAACACATAGGCGGAACCTGAAACTTACTTAGGGAAAAGGCTTCAATGTTTCTACTCCACGTGATCGTGGATGTCAATTTTTAACACCATTTTCTAGCAGAGAAGCATTGGAACAATCAAGAGCAAAATAAGAAAAACAAAAGAGCAGAAACACATAAATGATCATTGGTATTTTGAAACACCGAAGCTTCATTCAGCACTGCGAGAAAGCCCATCAGCGAATCACAGATCGCCATCCAGGTAACCAGTGGTTTAGGTGGATTTTGCCTAGAAACTACAGTTGTCATACTCTTGTAAACTCCTTGATGCCATTTTATTCAAAAGTGACAAAACAAATGCTTAACAGAGACAGAGATGGAGAGAACAAATCAATGGTAGATAGGGAGGATGAATCATATGACAACAAAAACCATCAAACATGGGTATCATATTCCTTACAGGACAGCACAAAACTGGCAACTTGTTACACAAAGTTACTCTGGTTTCTGCAAAGATGTGTGTATCCGAGAATTAGAATATATATAAAAACAAACCTTCAAGAACAGAATCATGATATGAGAGAACCCCGAGAATCAGAGCACATCTGAGTTGGGAAGGTGATCGATCTCTCATGAATCTCCCCTGAAAAATTAATTGTCTGAGCATACAAACTGCCAAGAGCCTTCATAGGGGAGAAACTGTGGATGAACAGGAGAAGAAAAATCGGAGACCAGCGTTAAAAGAATATATGCAACTAAAGATCGCGGATGAGAGAGAAGAAAATCAAATTCTCACCTTAAATTATCAGGGTTGACAAACTGGTTCCCGTCGATCGATCTCGTCGCCCCCCGTGCGTCGTCTCTAACGGTGATCTACAATCCAAACCATATCTCTTTAGATTTCTGGTTTCATGCTGGAATTCGATGACCTCCCTGGCTGTGAACTCAGTGCAGATCAACTCCTCTGGGAGAGATTAAAAAATCACATGTTGAGAAAGAGAGATCGAACTCATCCAAGTAAAAAGAGAAAAAATTAACCTAAACAGAGAAAACATACCTTGCGGATCTGGTTCTCCCCTGGGTCCTCTCTCGGCCTCCTTCTCCCGTTGATCGCTCCAAGTTAGTGATTTCCGGAAAGGAGATGTGAGAAACGAAGCAGAGATAAGTGTGAGAAGGAGAGTGGAGAGAGGACCCGCTCTCTTTGATCCTCCAAAAATGAAATCATAGAAAGACAGAAAGTAGATGGGCTCTTAAATCTGCAAACAAACCCCCAAAAATATCCATGGGAAAATCCCTTCCCTTTCTTCATCTCTCTGAGGATGCACACACTCCCCCCTCACCTTCACAAACCCGAAAAGGCCAGAAAGATTATTAAAAACAAAATATTGCAAACCTTCTTTCCGTCTTCTTCATCCACGATCATCAAGCTTGCACCCACAGAGAGATATCAGCGTTCCTCCAGGAGAATACTTAGCATGGATCACCTGGTCGCGACCGCAAAACCTTCGTCGAATCTCATCAATCAGAGAGAGGAAATCCGGCAATCCGTCGACGGTCTCGGCGATTCTGACGGACCTCCTCGCAATAGTGGGGTTGAGAGGAGAGAAGAGAGAGAGCGACAGAGAGAGAACCTTAAGAGAGATTCGCTCATATGTTTTGGCCTTGAGACTAAATATTAAAAAGAAAGAAACGAGGGTAGCTGGATGAGTGGACACAAATAAATCGATATTTTTTCGTATAGAGTTTGGTCACTTCAATACTTTCCCCAAAACCCAGACTCATCAACTATCAACCCATCTATCTATTTCTCCCGCCTCTCTCTGCGTCGAACAAGGCGAAGACTTCCCAGCTTCTCCCTGAGACACCAAAATGCAGTCTTTTCATACACCAGAGAAAAAGGCCAGCCCTGTCAAGGTTTCACTTTGTATCTGAAGAACCCTTTTTCGTCTCTCGAACGACCCACTCTCAACTGTTCACACATGTCACCTCACCCACACATCCCCGAGACCTCTAGATCTCCCACTACTCAACGATCTCTCCCCAACATAACACGCTAAGCAACCCAATAAGCCTCGATCTACGGACCCGGTTGGGCCAAAGCCTCCTATTGATCTCTGATGACCAACACGCGTCGGAGCCACCAAACGACCCCAAAGAAGGCCAATCAGAAGCCAACGACCAGTCCCACCCCAACCAAGCTGCCAAACTCCCGTCAGAAGTCAAAGAGACCTCACCCAACTCCAGCCCACACGCAAGGACACGCCAGCTTGAAACAGTAAAACCCAGTCACGATGTACAGTAAAAGGTGTCTGCGTGTACAGTACACGGGCATGCGGCGGGTTTCTTTCTTTCAATATAGGTATTTATGGTAATAGAACAAATGAAATGGAGGGGCCTTTTGGAACCCACAACTGATTATGTGTCAGGGGAAGTTTTGGGAAAAATCTTGCTGCAATTTCAGCATGTTGGCTCTTTTAACTCCACCTACGATTACGATTAAAAGAGTGGGTTTTGGGTTAATTAGTAACCTGTTAAATTTAAACTTGTTTAAATGAATTCCTTAAAGGAAACGAGCAAGCGGGCGAATCATCAAGAGGCAAGGGCATAGCGAAATAGCAAGCGTGTTGTGAGTAAATTCTAACCTAATGTTTATCCTAATATGATTATGGTATTCGGGTCATGAAGTGGCCAGAGTACAACGTATATGATGGCTTGATAAGACTTAAACCAATTGTGATTGAATGTTGCTATATGGCATGGTTACATGATTGAATGATCCTATGATTGGATGAGGTTACCCTATCATGGTAATTGTATGATAATGTGATGATATGATGAAATGATTGTATGATGATATGACCAGAAGGTCATAATACATGTTATATGTGTGTTAAACGGCATTATATGATGAGTATATGAAATGTGAAATGGTATTCAAAGCAGTCTAAGTGAAAGGAATTGCAAGAATGGTTGTCTATTGTGAATTGTACGAGATGAGATAAAATGGCCTATGAGCCATACAAGCGAATGTGATATGAAATGGTCCTTGTGGCACGCAAGTGATATGTTTAGTCGTGACTAACTATAAGATTATGAATGGTCACCTAAAGCAAACATAATGGTGCCCTGTCATGCACTCATTATAAGTGAAAAGAGGCTTTCAAGCCTAAGAGATAAAAGAGTTAATACGAGAACTCCTTTTAAGGAGTAATGTCAGGCCTGGCTACAAGTTTATGAGATATGGCACTCTGTGCCCCACGAGTTTACGAGGTCATGAGATATAGCACTTTGTGCCCACGAGTTAACGAGTATATGAGATTTGGCACTTGTGACTACGAGTTACGAGTTCACGAGATCCCGGGGAGTGCATGACTTGGCAAATTAAAGAATAAAAGCTACTGAATCCAGCTAACTATACGTATGTTTGTGATTGGATGTTGATATATGGTTGATTTTGGATGCAACATGAGTATTTGAATGTCAATTTTAGTATTGGTCATATTTGTGTGATATGTGATTGCGATGGCAATCTTAGTATTTTCCATATTTGATATATAAATTGTGAACCCTTAATTACATGAAATATGAGATATGTGAAGGTCGATGTGTTATATGTGATATCAAGTGATATGAGGTATATTTTGTGATAATCTCTTGTGACGAGTGGTACAATGAATAATCAGGAAACTGTTTTATAAGCAGTGATGATACCTTGGTTTAATTATGTTACTACCATGAAATGTTGATGGGTTCAATGTTATAGTGTCTATAATACATCCAAGGATGTGGTGTTGTTAGAAGTGCAAAGATATGATGAAAAAATAGTATGATGTAGAAGAATAAATATGAACTATTTGCAACACCGGGTAGGGTAAAGTAGAGGTGAAATCCTAAACGGATCATGTATGACATATAAGTAAAAGCTTGAATAAATGACCAATAATGTACATATGAAAGATCGAATGGACAAGGAAGAAATTTTGTATAAATCTACTTTGGTGAGACGTAAGTAAATCATTAAGTGATTAAATATGCATCGAGTATAATGGACGAAAGACACTCCGAGCCACAGAATAGTCTGATATCATTTGCGTATTGATATTTATATTAAGTGATTAAATATGCATCGAGTATAATGGACGAAAGACACTCCGAGCCACAGAATAGTCTGATACCATTTTCGTATTGATATTTATATTAGGTTATTATTTACTCATTGAGTGAGGTCTCACCCCGTCAATTTTTTTCCCTCACAGAGTTCGGTTAGCACCAATGGACTTAGATGGGCAAGTGAAATCAACCGAATGGCTAGGAGGTGGGCGGTGGAACTGAACTCTCCACACGCTTACAATTTAAGCACGAAAGGAACAACAAATCCTCTCAAACTATTTTTAAAACGTTCTTGACTTTTAAATGTGAAATATTTTTCTCATATACTCATAGACGAGGTATACCAGAAATGAGCATAACATGGGCAGGAGAAAGAGGATGTTATAGTGGGCGTTATAGTGGGCGTATGAGATATTGGAGGAGGATACAAAAGAGTCAGGAATGACAGTGGATGTTGGATTCAATGGAACTTTCCTGTTTGAAACTTTGTGAATGTACTGGATATGGTATTGGTGTTGTAGTTGTTTGATGTTGCTGCTGGCCTTGACCTTGAGCCTCTTCAGCGAGACGGGGAAAAGAGTAAACAAGGACCAATGGAAGCTGAGCTGCCGCATGTGTATCTACTACTTTGAAATCACAAAGTGAAAGCTAAGCTGTAGAGAGGATCCGCCCATGGAAGAAGCTATTTTACATTCTTCTAATATTGCCCCCCGTATTTCCAAATATGCCAAAACAACACTAAAAAGGTAACGGGCAAATCAAAACCAAAGACCTGGAGAATTGTACTGGTAATGGGATGAGAGAAAGATTGATTTCAAATACGAAGTTCTTGAATGATTCAACATTTAGATGAATGAAACTCAATAAACCAAATCACTTACCAAGAACAACCAAAAGACCCTATGTGTTAAGAGAACCTTAACAGGAAACCAGGATAATTGTTGAGTGTTGATCACAATGTATAATAATAACAAACACATAAACAATGCTCCCACCAACTTCGAACTGTTTCGAATGACCATTCCATCTAATACTCCCACCAAAGTGAAACTAAAGTCACTTGATCTAATGACAGACCAGGTATTCCATCTAAACTTTCGACTGTTAAAGGAATTGTGAATCAACACAGAACAAAGGACGATCAACAAGTCTCGCCAGGTAGCATTTGGTGACTTTATACCTTCAGAGTTGTCACCACATAAAGTTGTCAGATTCATCACTGCCGCCAAAGATCTGCGTGTGTACCGCCTCTTCCTTCTCCATCGTAAGCAATTGCTGACTCGCTGCCCACCACCAGAGGTCGCTCTTGTTAGTTTCAGGGGGAGTAATGATTGGGTTTGAGTAGGTATAAGAATCTTTGGAAGTGGATGAGAAGCGAGCCAGGTAAGGAATAGGGGAAACGAATAATCAATTTGACTCACCGCGGATCAGTGATTTGGTGGTGATGTGTTTTCCTTTTTTTTTCATTTTCAAACGAAGATCGGAGACCGGTGGAACTGGATTGGGATTTCTCGCCAACTTCTGGGTCTGATTTGAGAGTGAGAAGGGGAATTGCCAACGGTTGCGACACAACGACATGGATTAGGTACTACAGGGCAGTGTGCAGGGAGCGGGAGGCGAGATGAATGATGCCAAGACCACTGAAGGAGACGATCTTTCCCTTGGACTCGGAGGAGATGCAAGCTACAGTCGGCGAGAGGATGTCGATGTGGAGCACAAGGGTTTGTGAATTGGGCTAGTGAAATGGGGGAGGAAGGGGTCGCCGGATAGGGAGATTGACCAAGACAACAAGAATACTGACCGTTTGGTCAAGTGGCGGTTTGGCTCTTTCGATGGGTCTATCAGGTTTGGAATTAGATTAAATAAAATCAGGTTACGCCACATCAGTTCCACATCAGTTCCACGTGGACCAATTAAAATTAGCATCACCGGTGCCACAATTTTTAGAGCGGCAACTGTAGTATTGGACAAAGATTTAAGGGGTTTGACTTTTGAGTAGTGCATAAAAAGCAAATCCTATGTTAGAATGGTTTAAGTTATTCAGTGTGGGCCCAAATGAAGCCCAAACAACTAATCACGGGCCTCGTGGCACATTGCATAAATGAGAATTCAACCTACATCTAAGAAGTAGAAGAGGATGCTTGCTAGGGGTGAAAGTTTAACCCTGAAAACCCACTGACCCGTCCCAACCTGTCCCGTCCTTGAGGGTTGGGGGGTCAGTTTTTGACCTTATAAGGGTCGGGTCAATTTAGGGACGGGTCTCTTTTTGAACCTGTTGACCCTTAGCAACAACAAATATCTCATACCACAATGGACCTCTTTGTAAAAGTTTAGGTACTAAATTGCAAAAATAAAAAAATTTGGGTGCCAAAATGTAATTTTACCATCAAAATTTAATGACTTATTTGTAAAAAAACGTTGTGTGTAGATTAGGGTCGACCCACTGTCCCGGCCCATCCCATCCCTTGAGGGTCAGACAGGGTCAAGAAGGAGACAGGAACAGGACGGGTCAGTTATACATCTTGACCCTTCATAGACGAGTCAGATCGGGTCAGGGACGGATCAGAGACGGGTCAACGCAATTTTCAGCCCTAATGGTTGCATACTTTGCATTCATGGAACTGGATCTTTTGATTCAAAGTCAGATGACACAATCACTCGATCAAACTTTGCGTCGACAAATGTTACAATCTTTGTAAGGTTGTTAACCCGCGGATCGACCAGTGGGTCGACCGCTACAAGGTACTGGGTTGGAGGTGAAATTGTGTCATTTTTTTCTTTAGTTTGCGAAATGCGCCTATTTTTCGATTTTTCTTTTCGCCTAACTCAATCTTTGGAATTCTTAGTTGAACATTTGAATATTGATGTTATATAAGTGTGTGTGAATTTTCACTATATGTTGGATCCAAGTACGACATGTTATTTTGGTGGAATATTATATGTTAGACTAACTCCAACCCAAATGTGCATTAGCCTCTCAAACTCTCAAATGTGCATTTTTACCTTCCAAAAACACTTTTTTGCTCCAACCCTAAACCTTCTAAATTTGCCTTCCCAACTCATAACCAACCAATCAAAAATTAAGAAAGTAAAAAAAAAAAAGGCGCTGGAAAAGTGGAGGGCCCCACGTGCCCCTACATGTGGGCTTTGGCTGTCCCATGATCCCCACCTTCTCCTTGCATATTTCCATTTCAGCTGCCATCTATCTACTCCCAGGCATAGTTAGTAAAATTCGATACGAGAAAGTTACGTAAAAAATACGTACGAGTATTTTACGCCGTCTTTAAGCTAATGTTACGTTTAATAGTACGTTAATAGTCATAAATGCATAAAAAATAATTATTTTAAAAATAAAGAAATATATAAATAATAGTAAAGTTCACAATTTAATTTCATTAAATATGGATATTAAACGTGTTATACGGGTTTTATACGTGTTTAGTACGGGAGCCATCAAATGAACGGGGGAAAATGAAACGGATTGACAATAATACGTATATGGATGTTTTAAACGGATAAAATACGTACGGGTACATGTACGTGTATTAAACGGAGTATTTACTAACTATGCTCCCAAGCCCACTTCTCCAAATTTGCAAGCCAATTTTTATGTGAGTTGGAGAGGAAAAAGTGGGAAAACATACATTTCTCCAAATTTGCATCCTTGGGTTGGAGTTAGTCTTATAACTCATATGTTAGCTGAGATTTGTATAATTTAGGGCTAATACCCTAGTTTGGCCCGAAGTTTAGCGTTAGTGACAGTTATGGCCTCATTTTTCAAATAAGACATTTACGGTCTACTTTTAAAATTATTGGACAGATTTGTCCCGGAACTTGTGTTGACCGTTAATATTAACGGTCAAACACTTATTCCGTTAGTGATTCAGCAAAAAACGACTAATGTGGTCATACATGGTGCCACGTCATTAAAAAAATATTATTTTAATTTTATAATTTAAATAAAATTAACAAATTAAAAGATGGATCTCTTACTTATCTCCCCTTCGTCCTCTCTGTTTCACAGATCCACTTCCCCCTATATCCCCACCGCTGCTTCCTCCACCCACCACCGTCGACAACAAAGAGACTCTTCTCATTAACCGCCGTTGATGTATCGCCCCTCGGAAACCCCACCCCTGCCGACGAAATTTCTATCTCCACGGCAGCATCCACCGCTAACGCCGGCGCCGAACAAACCCTCGGCATAAAGCCCGATCCTACCAGAAGCGGGGTACTAGGAGATATACAAAGGAGCACGAGAAGTTGACGGGTGCGATCATACCAGCACTGATGCACCGGATCCCATCAGAACTCCGAAGTTAAACGTGCTTGGGCGAGAGTAGTACTAAGATGGGTGACCTCTTGGGAAGTCCTCGTGTTACACCCCTTTTCGACTTATTTTTTTCGCTAATATTTTCATTTTAGATGGGCAGCGACGCAATAGGAGGTTTGCCGCTGCTTAGGTCTCGAAAAGTTGTGCGAAATGAAAAAAAAGTTTGCGTCAATCGGACAACCGAGCGCAAAGTTATGGCCGTCAAACCGCCAAGCCCGATCCTACCAGAAGCGGGGTACTAGGAGATATAAAAAGGAGCACGAGAAGTTGACGGGTGCGATCATACCAGCACTAATGGACCGGATCCCATCAGAACTCCGAAGTTAAACGTGCTTGGGCGAGAGTAGTACTAAGATGGGTGATCTCTTGGGAAGTCCTCTTGTTGCACCCCTTTTCGACTTATTTTTTTTCGCGAATATTTTCATTTTAGGTGGGCAGCGACGCAATAGGAGGTTTGCCTCTGCTTAGTTCTCGAAAATTTGTGCGAAATGAAAAAAAAGTTTGCGTCAATCGGACAACCGAGCGCAAAGTTATGGCCGTCAAACCGCCAAGCCCGATCCTACCAGAAGCGGGTTACTAGGAGATATAGAAAGGAGCACGAGAAGTTGACGGGTGCGATCATACCAGCACTGATGCACCGGATCCCATCAGAACTCCGAAGTTAAACGTGCTTGGGCGAGAGTAGTACTAAGATGGGTGACCTCTTGGGAAGTCCTCGTGTTGCACCCCTTTTCGACTTATTTTTTTTCGCGAATATTTTCATTTTAGGTGGGCAGCGACGCAATAGGAGGTTTGCCGCTGCTTAGGTCTCGAAAAGTTGTGCGAAATGAAAAAAAAAATTGCGTCAATCGGACAACCGAGCGCAAAGTTATGGCCGGCAAACCGCCAATCCCGATCCTACCAGAAGCGGGTTACTAGGAGATATACAAAGGAGCACAAGAAGTTGACGGGTGCGATCATACCAGCACTAATGCACCGGATCCCATTAGAACTCCGAAGTTAAACGTGCTTGGGCGAGAGTAGTACTAAGATGGGTGACCTCTTGGGAAGTCCTCGTGTTGCACCCCTTTTCGACTTATTTTTTTTCGCGAATATTTTCATTTTAGGTGGGCAGCGATGCAATAGGAGGTTTGCCGCTGCTTAGGTCTCGAAAAGTTGTGCGAAATGAAAAAAAAGTTTGCGTCAATCGGACAACCGAGCGCAAAGTTATGGCCGTCAAACCGCCAAGCCCGATCCTACCAGAAGCGGGTTACTAGGAGATATACAAAGGAGCACGAGAAGTTGACGGGTGCGATCATACCAGCACTGATGCACCGGATCCCATCAGAACTCCGAAGTTAAACGTGCTTGGGCGAGAGTAGTACTAAGATGGGTGACCTCTTGGGAAGTCCTCGTGTTGCACCCCTTTTCGACTTATTTTTTTTCGCGAATATTTTCATTTTAGGTGGGCAGCGACGCAATAGGAGGTTTGCCGCTGCTTAGGTCTCGAAAAGTTGTGCGAAATGAAAAAAAAATTTGCGTCAATCGGACAACCGAGCGCAAAGTTATGGCCGGCAAACCGCCAATCCCGATCCTACCAGAAGCGGGTTACTAGGAGATATACAAAGGAGCACAAGAAGTTGACGGGTGCGATCATACCAGCACTAATGCACCGGATCCCATTAGAACTTCGAAGTTAAACGTGCTTGGGCGAGAGTAGTACTAAGATGGGTGACCTCTTGGGAAGTCCTCGTGTTGCACCCCTTTTCGACTTATTTTTTTTCGCGAATATTTTCATTTTAGGTGGGCAGCGATGCAATAGGAGGTTTGCCGCTGCTTAGGTCTCGAAAAGTTGTGCGAAATGAAAAAAAAGTTTGCGTCAATCGGACAACCGAGCGCAAAGTTATGGCCGTCAAACCGCCAAGCCCGATCCTACCAGAAGCGGGTTACTAGGAGATATACAAAGGAGCACGAGAAGTTGACGGGTTCGATCATACTAGCACTAATGCACCGGATCCCATCAGAACTCCGAAGTTAAACGTGTTTGGGCGAGAGTAGTACTAAGATGGGTGACCTCTTGGGAAGTCCTCGTGTTGCACACCTTTTCGACTTATTTTTTTTCGCGAATATTTTCATTTTAGGTGGGCCGCGACGCAATAGGAGGTTTGCCGCTGCTTAGGTCTCGAAAAGTTGTGCGAAATGAAAAAAAAGTTTGCGTCAATCGGACAACTGACACGCCAAAACACAGCACCAAACTGCGACCAAGTGTAATTGCAGTCCGGGAATGCAGTAACAGGCAAGTTATATTATCAACCCGGGGTCTAGATCTACTGCTTACTCCGTGATTCTCTATCAATTGGTATATCATCTGAGTAATGACACCATAGCAGAATTTTCAAAGATGGACCCTTAGTTTGCACTTAGAGCTCTCTGATTAGGGAACCTAACAATCTAGAAAGGGAACCTTTAGTACAAACTTGGACTCGGACTCATCATGGGACATCCCTAATCTGTTATTGAGGGCCAAATCACATATGCTTTTCGTTTAGCTTAGTCTAACTAACAGATAACCAGGAAACAATGCAGACTCTCCCAAATTCTACTAGGTTTTTGGTTCACAGAAATGCAAGATATTGAAGCAGAATGAAACATCCCTGTCAAGTCACTAATTGAACGCCCCTAGTAAACTATTGTTGTGCCCAGTTCCAAGGTTAATTGGTTATCTCCCAAACCTCCAATGTTTTTAGGATGCAAAGTCTGTAGGAAGACCACCTATGAATTCACACCTTATTTCGCTACAAGATCCTCAACCGAAAGCTAATGCCCGATGCAGAGAGAACCTATGCAAAACAAACGGGAGATATTTTAAGTACTAATGAGATGGTAAACTCACATTAGGATCATCTCCAAACCCATACATCATGTGCTGTACTGCAGCAAGGAAGAAATTACAGACATATCAATCACTTCAACACTACTCAATAAACAAAAACCAAAACAGAAATTATGTTATATCCGGCTGCCAGGGCTTACAATCTTTCTGAAACATTCCTCGTTTCCTCTTAACAGATGTTTCTGAAGGCTGCGAGGAACCAGCCTTGGCAGGTTTTGACGATTGCCCTGCAGCACCGGAGCTGCTCATCTTCCCTCGCCCCTCGTATAACTTTACCGAGTTATCACTTCAAAGAACCCTAATTCACTGCAACTTACAAAAGCGAAACAGAGATCTCAGATACTACTAGGGCAATTACACCATCGATATACACAATTGAAGAGCTTCAGTCTCTCATACAAGTAAGATTGAACACCCTACGCAATTCCAAAAATTCAGAAATTATCTTTAATCAGGCTGAACAGAGTAGAATACCTAGGTTTTAAAGACAATGGCCAATTGCAGCCGAAATTGTTCGACGGCGGTGGCAAGGGGAAGCCAGAAACAACCGGCAGGAAGGCTTCACAACGGTGAACTGCAAATACCGGTCCTATTCCGTTTCTGATCTCCGAGTTCAAAGACCAGCGGATTGAGACTGGACAAGACAAGACCGACGGTGGACAGCCGGCGACGAGGAAGCTCTTACGGGCGTCTCTGTTTATTTTAGAAGAATTTTCAATTCTCTCTGTTTTGTGTTTAGTGTTTACTGTGACGGACGGACGGACGGACGGTGACGGACTGACGGTCCATTAATAAAGGGCTGGCGAAATCTGAAGATCCACAGATTGAGCGGTGTCGTTTCATTAATTGGATATAATTCTGTTGGAAAATGAATTCCATTTCTTGTGAGAATCTGAATTCAAGTGAGAATTCATTTTAAAATTTTATGTTTGGAACAAATCCAAAAGTTTGGGAAATGATTTCATGTTTTTATGTTTGGAAAAAATGGAAATGATTTCTTACAAGTGCTTTTACAATAATATCCTTGGTATTAGTGATTTGGGCTAATACCACTACAACACCCGAACTATCGCGAAAATGCCACTTGTGTCCTATTGTTTCCAATATTCCATTTGTGTCCTGAACTATGATTCCGTTAGTGTTGACTTTTGTTGACCGTTAGTTTTTAACAGAAAATCCAGTCAGTGCTGATGTGGCATCTGACGTGGAATTTGAAATATTAATTTTTATTTATTTTTCTATCTAATATTAATAAATAAGAAAAAGAAAATAATTTTTATTTATTTTCTCTCTTTCCTCCTTTCTTTTCTCCTGTCGACGATTTCGAACTCCACCGATAGAGAGAGAAAGCGAGCGTGAGAGAGGGGAAATCAGAGGGAGCAATGGAGAGGAGATGGAAATGGCGACGGCGAGCGCGGATCCGACGGTGTCTTGTTGCTGGAAGCCGAGAGGCAGACTGTTGGCGACTGGAACCCGACCGTTCAGCTTCCCTTCCGCCTCCCCCATCTCCGCATTGCCGTTCCTTCTCGATATCTCTCCACCGCTATCGGAATCGGTCATCGCTTCTCTGCTCTTTCCAGGCCTGGAGACCATCCAATTCACCCTTAGTCAATCCGCATCAAACCCCCCTGAAATCCCAACGCATTTCCCAGAAAAACGAACTAGAGAAAAGGGGAATCAGAGGCAGAAGCCAACCTGGAGTCCCTCATCGAGATGGTCGCCTCGTCGTCACTGGCGGGGTTGCTTCATCTTTGTCGCCGATGATCTCCTCCCATTTCTCTATCGTGCCCACCTCTCGTTGGTGGGAACCCAGAACCTAGAACCCAAAATTACCCAAAAATCCCATTTCCAATCTACCCACACCGATGTTGGACGCTAGATCTACTTCTCTAAGCTCTTCCACCAAGCACGAGATTTTGGCCCCAAGAAATCTGCAAGTCTCAAGCAAACAACAACCTCAAATGCGGCGGCACCATCGCTCCTTCCTTTCTTTTCCAACTCAACCGACACGAAAGTAGCAAGCTGAAGGGGTTTCGAGGATCTGTTGGCGGTGCCATCGATTTAGGTGGACGCAGCTGCTCTGGCTTTTGGGTCAGACCCTTTGTTGAATCGGACCTTTCTCCGGCTTCTCTAGCTTCTCCCACCGGCGCCATCTCGGGATTTCATTCTCAATTCACAACCGCCCTTTCAATTTCTTGATTAGAACATTTGAATCAGACCTCCATTGTCCGATCTTAGCAGGCTCGTTCCTGATTTCGATCTTTCAACCCTAAATTCTTGTTGGAGAAGGAGAGGATCATGAACTGGAACTCTTTGGCGAGGATGGAGGAGAAGAGTTGGAGGCGGTGCGTGGAGAAGCTCGAGGGACGAGATTTGGTGGAGGTTGACCCATCGCCGGCAAGGAGGCGGGGCGGTTGGAGAGAAGCTGTAATTTTCGGCGCCGGAAGAAGACGAAGAGGAGGTGGAGGAGAATTTTTCGAGGGTGATTTTTTTTGTTTTTGAGGTTACATATTTTTTAATTTTTTTTATTTAATTTAAATTAAAAATATGAGGTGTCAATGATTTGGCATTGCCACATCAGCAAAAGTCAATGTTAAGTTGACCGCAGTTTGGTCAACCGTTATCTTTAACGGTCAACAAAATTGTCAGGATACAAATGGCACAAAGTATAATAGTTCATGACATGAATGGAATATTTGATACAATAGGACACAAGTGACATTTTTTCGATAGTTCGGGTGTTGTAGTGGTATTAGCCCTAGTGATTTCAAATCCAAAAGTAGTAAGGGCTTTCTTGTAAAGGTGAGTCAAAATTAATGTGGGGTCCACTAATTCCATCACTCCCTCCACCAATTCCGACCACTTTTGGTAGGAATTAGAATTTCCAACTTTTTGCCTTTTGGAATTCCATTTCCTTTTTACTTTTTACTTCCAAACATGAGAATCATGAAAAGTTTGGGAATTGGAATTCCATTTCCTCAAAATTTAGCCTTTCCAAACAGGCTGTAAGTGATCTTAGTCCTTTTTGTTATGGAATATGGAATAATGATCTAAGCCCTTTTTGTTTGCATGTTAGTATGTTTAACTCCAAATATTTAAATCGCAACAATCAAGTCCTTCATCAACAGGGACGCATACTCTCACTGTCCCTTCTTTGTTGTAAATAGAGACTACGCTAGAGAGTATGTACTGACCATGGTAAAGGAAACCGTACCGAAAGTCATACCGGCTCCGTCAGTGGTAGGGTATTTTGTGGTACTACCGTGGTTCAATCGTTGTGTACCGGCAAAATACCGTTTTTGTAATTAAATAATATTTTTTTTGTTAAAAAACCGTACCGGCAGATTCGGGATACCGTTTCGGAATAATATCAGAATAAAACCGGAATATACCGGATAACAAACCTGAATAAACTACACTAATCAACAAAGAACCATAATATATCATGGAAAAACAACAGCATGAAGCACATCATCAATTGAACTTCCATTGGAAGTCACTCTTCCATAACGCTTCCTATCGAAATCACTACACTGATCAACACAGGGTTGCATAACACCGATCACCTGCCAATCGAATGATCAACCTAAGGATTATAACCCTATAAGTATCAATTCGTTGCATCCTACCATATGAGTAGCCTAGCTTCCTAAACAGTGACACCCAATTCACACATTCATGCCAAACACCAGAGTATGAGAATCATCTAACTGAAACACATAGTGCCAACTCAATTGATCTCCAATCCAACTCATACTTAAATTGTAATAGAGCGATTACAGGAAGACCCAAGTTCATATCCAGATTTCCCCCATCAACCAAAGAACAGCTAAAAGGAAACCCGATCATCAAAAACAAATACATATAGCAGCCAAGCAAACCATCAGAGATGACAGAACGCACGAAACCAGCTAAATCAAAGGCCTAACAATCAGTTTAACCCAGAAATTCGCACGATCCTTCAATTGGGACAGGGTTCGTTTTCTTCTGATATAATATATGGGTTCTTCTCTGTTAATTGCGTTTTGGGTTGTGCCGTTGTGAAGAATTCCAGAATCTTACCGTTTTGGGTTGTGCCGTTTTGGGTTTTGGGTCGCGCGTTCTTGAGCAGTCAACAGTGGAGGAGCGGATGCCGGAGAGGAGCAACGGAGCGCAGGAGAGGAGCAGCGGAGCAGATCAGGTCGGTCGGTGGAGCGGAGGAAAGCAGGGACGGAGAGGAGCCTTGCCGCCGGTCGCTGGTCACGGGCTCGGCGATTCCTGGTCGCCGGTCGCTAGAGGAGAAATGGAGAAGAGGAGGAGCGCCGGCCGCCGGATCGAACTGAAGAAGAAGAGGAGAACTGCAGAACTGCGAAGAAGAAACGAAGGCAGTTGTGTTTCGTTCGATTGTTAGGGTTTTGACAATTTGATTTCTTTTTTTTTTTTTTTTTCTAATACGACGACGTTGTCTTTCCATTACCCTGCCCCCGGTTAGACCAAAACCGGGCGGTATTTCGGTTTAAACCGTTTAAACCGTTTCTACCGGCCGGCACGATATTCTGCACCCAAACACGATACCGTATCGCTCGTGCTCCGGTTCCCGGTTTTACCGGTTCAACCGGCCGGTACGATCCGGTTTCCTTTACCATGGTACTGACTCATATCAATATTTTACTGAGTATCAATGACTTTTTTCATCGAAAATTGCAGTGCCACTACCTTATGACGTTGATACGATGAAGAATATTCATCCCAAATACGATGGAAAAATCCTGTGCCAAACAGTTGGCAAAAAAATTACTCTGTGAGAAAGATGAACTGACCAACTAATAAGTAGGGATGATGAATATGTGGTTGAACTTAGCAATCCACCCACTATCGACCCATTTATTATGTTGTGGGTGGTTCGTGGGTGTGGACTCTAAAATAAGTGACCACTAAAGTTTGAGTGAGTGCGGGTGGACTAAAGTTTGGAATAATTAATGCTCACCCGTCCACCATCCGCAATCATCCAACACACCCACAATACATGTTGGATGATTGTGGGTCATATTCTCTTTCATCCACCACATAACAGGTGGGTCCAAACTCACCCAAATTAGCATTAAACCACCCACTGTTCACCCCTACTAATAAGATTTTGGAACTGAAGCACGAGGCTCGTGTGTTGGTGCGACAGGGCCTCTGTCACCTGCAGGATGAACAATGTCGTGGTTGAGTCCATCTGGAAGGCCACCCTTCGATGTTCAATTCAAGCTGTGTGATAAGCATTTCGTGTAGCAGTCTTATTAATTCATATAAAATACAACTAATTTATAAATCGTAGAAATGTCTAGCGTCGTATTTGTTAGAAACGGAACAACAACAAGACCTAGGATACCGAATCTGGAGCTGAGTCGCGGACTAGGTCGCTCTCTTTAAGACGTTCGCGGCACTGCCCTCGATGCGCACGGCAGACTATCAACCGGTCGTCTCCAGGATAAAACAGCTCCTCTGTGTACTCGCGGTTTTGTACGAAAATCGGAGCTCTCTGAACACTCTCTCTATTGTGTTTATGCTCGTTGTGGTGTGTTTAGAGGGGCTGGGGAGGCGGCTATTTATAGGAGCCGAACCCCTAGGAATATACCCTCTTGCTTGGGGAATAAGTCGGGTTAATTAAGGAAGATAATTACTTCCTTAATTAAAACCGTCGGTTAGGATAAATCCTGCGGAGATTATCCTTCGAATATTCCTTTTCAATCGATTATCCCTTGGAATATTCCT